AAATCTAAAAAGTCCTTAACCAAGGGCTTCTCAGGACAGCACACGTGCAAATTAAAGTCACCAATAATGCAAACATGCTCATATTTTGGTGTGATTTCAGCCAAGAAGTCAGAAAACTCATTTATGAAATCCTTAGACCGAGGTGGGCGGTAGACGAGAGTAAATAATGTTGGAGGTGAATGTCTGAGTTCAAAGATGCTCAGCTCAAAGCTGGCATGGGAAATTGGGATGGGCAGTTGTTTACAGTCAAAAGTTGATTTGAATATTGTTAATAATCCACCACCGTGCCGTCCTGATGGCTGCGGGGCGTTAAAATACAAACAGTTTGGTGGCAGTAATTCCGTCAAGGCGCTGGTCTCACCCGGAGACATCCAAGTCTCTGTGATGTACAGAAAGTCCAGATCATGCTCTTGAAAGTAGAAAAACATATTGTGTATAAACTTTGCTCACCTCTTGGTCCACTGCCAAAACTTGGTAGACACATGCGCTACTCAGCATATTATATTTTTGTGGACCTCAAAGACTAAACCAGAATTAAGAATAACAAAGTAAACGCTTGGACAAACTTAGGAAACCACTTTGAGTTCAAGATAAAGGAAGGAGGCTGCTTCATACTGTTGTTAGCCCTTTTTGATCAGAAAGACTGATATCAGACCTACCAGGAAACATGCGGTGAGTTAGAAAAATATGTGTTTGTTTTGTAAATTAAAGGTTTTCATAATTTATTAAAAGGCTAAATGTAATCTAGTTAACATGATTTTAAGTATTTTTGACCCCAAGTTAGCAGACAGATGAAGAGACAAAGTCAGGTGTACAAAAAGATAAGTGCTTTATTTACACGTGTAGTTTAAATAAAGGGCTGAAATGGAAAAAAAAAGGGACAAGGTGAGTATTTGTAATTATCTGAATTCTTGAATAATAGATCTTGTTTGTAGGCAGTCTCTTACTTGTGGTTGTTTTATAGATGGTGCTGTAGTGGAGGGAGAGAACAGGTTCCCAAAGGAGGGAAGGTGATCCAGAAGGGGTGAGTGTAGTTGGAGAGAGGAACAGGTTGAAGGTGCTCGGTAGTTTCTGATCCAGGTTCATCTTAGACAGGGTAAAGTCACAAGGAGCAAGGTCTTAGAAGACTTGGAGGAAGACAGGAAAGTCACAAGAAAAATCACAAGGTTAGTCAAAGTTCAAGGAATAGATTGATCGGCTGTCCATTATTTACCATGAGGTATCATAATGCTCCAGCGTAGGAAGAACGTCTGGCAGCAGCTTAAATACTCAGCAGAGCAGTCTTCCAGAGTGTGGAGTGGTGAATGATTAGGATGATCAGCAGCTGTGGAGAAAGTGATTGTGGCTGGAAACGTAGGAATCACATATTAGTAAAACCAACATCAGCATCTGACTCTACAGTAGTAATATTGCTTAGATTTGTCTCAGATGGTAGGCTAACTGTTGAATTATTATGCTAACAATGTAATATGACGTGATCAGAAACACGAAGCCTCATTAACTTTGTAACTCTTCTCTAAAAAATGTCAGAGAATCAATAAGTGGACAGGATGTGGTCTAATAAAATCAAACAGCTTGATGAAAAATAATGCTAAATCTATTGAGGGTTGTTAGTTTATTTAATGATGACTGTATTTACAGTTTAATTGAATAGACCAGCTACATTCACACTTCAGCTGATTATTGAGTCTATGGCAAGTGTTAAATTGTAAAATCAGCCATTGATTAAATCAAGTAAATAATAACATGATTTGTATTGAAATGGATGGTCAGTGTCTCTCACGCTGCATGCATACCACATTTTCTGACACTTAGTACAAGTACAGTACATTTGAGTACTTGCTTTAAAAAAAGTACTGATACAAGTACAAAACACTTATGTGAGGTCAGGGGAGGTAGGTAAGATATGACGCAAAATAAAGAAAAAACAATATGCTGATGGCCCGCAATGCTGAGAAATTTAAAGGGTGAATGTTTGTAATTGTTGAGATGAGTGGTTTTCTGGACAAGAATTAAACAGGAAACACAAAACTTAAATCGTAATGTTTTGGGCACAATAAATTCAAATGTGTAGGAGGTACAGTGTATATAAGAATAGAGGGAGTTTTTTTTATTTTTTTGACATTTTTTTGCTTGTCCAAGGCAGCACAGCATGACGGATCCTTGCAAGTGAAGGGAACAATTTTATCCATCATCAGATGTAATGGCAGAGTCGGGGGGTGGCCAGTGGTGGCCTAGGCTATTCAGTTAATTTCAGTTTCATTTAATTTATATAACACCAAGTCACAACAGAAGTTGTCTCAGGGCACTGAACAGAAACATTCACATACATAAAAAAAAAGCCAATTAGTAAAAGTTCTCTATCTAAGGAAGCAGCAGTTTGAGTTGAACTTTCACTTCGTTGCAGTCTCCCCTCCTGGGCAAGCACAAAGGAGACGGTGGAAAGGAAAAACTCCCTTTTAACAGGAAGAAATCTCCAGCAGAACCAGTCTCAGGATGAGCGGCCATCTGCTTTGACCAGCTGGTTTGAGAGGAACAGGAAGGAGAGACAAACAAACACAGAATGGTAGGTCCAGATGGTAGGTTCTATGGGAGGAAAGACAAAAAAAAAACGTGAAGATAGAAATAATTACATATACAAACAGTTAGAGTAGAGCAAGTAAAGAGCAGCAGAGAGAGGAAATGTGGTCAGTTTGTCCTCCAGCAGTCTAAGCCTATAGCAGCTGTAGTGAGACACGTGAGGTACGTGTCACTTGTTGTATGACAAATAT